CTTGTGCCACTCATGGATGTGCGGTGCTGTGCTGAGGGCAGGGTGCTGGGTGCAGAGTGCAGGGGGCAGAAGGCAGGGGGCAGGGTGCAGGGGACAGGGTGCAGGGTGCAGGGTGCAGGGTGCACGGTGCAGGATGATACAGCGGTTGACAAATATGTGAACTGCTACACGAATGTTTGGCCTGGTTGTGCCTGGCCGGATAGGTGGCTGTGAAATGTGGAGCTCATGAATATTCAGTCCAACAAATGATGAGAGTGGTCGCATCAAGGTAGGGCGCGTCTTGCTCCCTTGCGATGCTACTCTTTTGCTGCGATCGCTGATAAGATGCAAATCTCTTGCTACAAACGCAGATATATTGTTACAATCTTGTTACAGTCCCATGTGAAAAAATATATATTTATTTTGCTGAAAGGAGTCTACACTGTAGATGGCTGTGCATGATAATACAGTGCTGTAGATGGATAACTTGCGGAGATGATCCCTTGCGGAGATTCCGTATTACGGCGGAACCTTTTCTGGCACACCTGCTGCAATTTTCAAAAAGCCGCGCTTCGTCGGGCCCAGCGCAGTTTAGCGGCTACTTTGGACTCCCATCCCGGTGGCGATAGTCGTCTGACCCCGATAGCCTCAGTTACGTTTTTGTCATTTGCTCGCGAAAGCTTTGCCGTGACCTTTGCCGTGACCTGTGCGGCGGGCGGAGACCAGCGGAAGCCTCTGATTTGGCGACTCCCTCTCGCCTGTCGTCGCCTCCCTCCAGCAAGTGCATGCAGCCTCCCAGAGACCAAGTCAACCCGGCGACATTCCAAGGCCATTCCAGTCACCTCTGCCGAATTCTCCAGTTTCTTCATTCACGTCACTTATTCTCTCTACTCAGCGTTAGCTCGTGCTTGCTTCCATAGGTTTATCAGCTCGCCATGGCTGCTGTCGAATCTCTCAGAGATGTAGCTTACTACGATTAGATCGTACTCTTAAAGTATTCATGACAGTAGTAGCTTATCTAGATAAGCCTGTTCCAGTGGGAGAACTGGTAGACTCGTGTCATTATACAGCTTTCTGATAGGCTGATGTTAACTGCTTGCCTCTTAGCTTATAACCGCGGTAGTTAATATTCGTAACCGCTAAGGCAATTCCACCATTAGTTTTCAGCGAGCACTACCACGTTGAGTTTCAGTATCTAGATTCTTGTAAACTGATGATTAACCGATAGTTTTCAGCTACCGTATCAACATGATTCCTGGCGGGTCTTTCCTGATAAGGTTTTCCACCGCTCTAGTTGAAGCGTATGTCGCTTCCGTTTCGTTGAAGCGTCGTTCCGATATAGTCGTACATCCAACTACTCGCCGATGGCTGCTACTATGATCGCCTAAAGCCGAACGTGAAGTCAAGGCATTATGATACGTGAAGCAGCACCGTGCGGCAAACGACTAGCCAATGTCGAACGGCGAACGGTTAGCGACGACAGTGAGCGGCTGGAAACGTGCGGCGATCGTGTAGCGGCAAGTGGCGAGTTACGAATTACGCGCAACCATGCGGAAGGCGGCGACCCACTGCGTGCGACCTTCCGCGTGCGACGTTGTGCGGATGCTGGCGAAATACTGCATGCGACGATGTGCGGAAGATGGCGACGAACCGCGTGCGACGTTCCCTGTGCGACGGTGTGTGGACAATTCGACTTCACGCGATTGACCGTGTGCGGAAGACGGCGGCCAACCGCATACGGTGTGCGGAAGATGGCGACTTAACGCGTGCGACGTTCCGCATGCGGCGCCGTGCGGATGCTGGGCGACATGACGCGACGATGTGCGACAAACGGCATGCGACGTACCGCTTGCGACGTTCCCCGCCGTGCAACGGTGTGCGGATGATGGCGACTTACCGCGTGCGAAGTTCCGCGTACCGGCGCTCTGTGAGGATGCATGCGACGATGTGCGACGAACGACATGCGACGTACCGCGCGCGTCCGTGTGCGGAAGATGGCGACTGCGAGGCCGTACGATTTACCACGCGCGACTGTGTGCGGATGATGGCGACGTACCGCGTGCTACGTGTGCGGAAGTCGGCGACAAACTGCGTGCGACCTTCCGCGTGCGACGTTGTGCGGATGCTGGCGCATACTGCATGCGACTGGGCGCAGATGCTGGCGATGTCCCGTGTGCGATCGTGTGCGGAAGACCCGCGTGCGACGGTGTGCGGAAGATGGCGATTTACAGCGTGCGACGATTGGCGTGCGATGTTGCGCGGATGCTGACGCCATGCCGCATGCGACGATATCCGACGAGCGCCATGCGACGTACCGCGCGCGTCCGTCCGCGCGGCGCTGACGTGGTGAATGGCGAAACAGAACGTGTCTGCTGGCTGATCCTGGCGCTGCTGGAGTGCTGCTGGCTGATCCTGGCACTGCTGAGGTGGACGGGCGCGGTGGGGATGACGCACGGCCGGCAGCCACTGGCGTGTGGCTGCCTCTACCCGCCCTGCTGACCACCCGCTCGTGGAGCAGCAAGGCAACACTGGCATCTCGTGGCCAGCAAAGCAAATGGGAAGTGTCTTTCTCCTCGCCTTCCCTTCTCGTCACCCTCCATTCGTTTCGTTTCGTCATTCCGTGTTTTCCGCACCTCGTTCTTCACTCCATCGTCCTGCATTTCGCGTTTATGCACGTCCCTCTGATACGTTCGGCTGCAGCCTAGTAGATGTCCTCCGCGGGTTTTGGGTAGCATAGATTTTGGGTTGGGTAGCAAAGAGTTTGGGTTTTGGGTAGCATAGCTCCTCCCTCTGCTAGCTGCAGCCGGCGTATCATGGACGTGCATCCATCCCACCACCTCGTTTCCACGTGTTGTTCTCCGCTCTCAATTCCGCACATCGTTTTTTCGCTTTCAATTCCGCATTTCGTTCCTTGTGTTTGTTTTGCTTTATTTTTCATTCCGCAGTTCTGTTTACTGACTTCGTGCATCTGTCTGGGTGTTCCCTCCCCCTGTTTTCAGCAACCATGGGTTCTTCACTCGGGAGGAGCAGAGGCGCCTGCAGAGGACGGCAGCAGCGACTCCCTAGGGTGCTCTCTTGGCTCTTTGGAAGGGCAGCGGCGCATGCAAGGGGAGGGCGAGCGTGGTGGGATGACGCACGGCCGGCCCTTCCCGCCCTGCTGACCACCCGCTTGCGAGGGCGACGGTGACGCTGCAATGCAAGCGGATGGAGCGAGGCGAGGAGGCGCCTGGAGCGCGGCGAGGAGGCGCCTGGAGTGAGGAGGATGACGAGGGCGCATGGCTGACTCAGCGGTGAAGGCGGTGCAGCGGTGGCCTGCAGTGGACGCGCGTCAACAATCAGCTGCCGGCAACAACAAAACCAATTGAGCTTCCTTACCCTTGCCTCCTCACGTCTCTCCCTCTCTCGATCTATCTCGCTGCCCTTGTCGTTTGTCTTTGAGCTTCCTTACTCTTGCCTCTTCACTCTCTCTCGATCTATCACCGACGCTCTTGACAGAGGCGGCACCAACACCTTCTCTGAATGTGAGTGCATCAGCAGCAGGTGTGCCGACTTGTCTCTGATGTTTCTGTCGACGATTGTTGCGAACGCAACTCCTACGTCCGCCTCCTCTGAATGTGGGTGCAAGTCCTACGACCTCTGAATGTGAGTGCAACTCCTACGTCCTTCTCCTCTGAATGTGAGTGCAACTCCTACGTCCTTCTCCTCTAAATGTGAGTGCAACTCCTACATCCTCCTCTAAATGTGAGTGCAACTCCTACGTCCTTCTCCTCTAAATGTGAGTGCAACTCCTGCGTCCGCCTCATCTGGATCTGCGTGCAACTCCTACGACCTCTGAATGTGAGTGCAACTCCTACGACCTCTGAATGTGAGTGCAAGGCGAGGCAAGGCCAAGTGAGGCGAGGCTAGGAGCGGCGAGGCGAGGCGAGGCGAGGCGAGGCGAGGCGAGGCGAGGCGAGGCGCAATCCGTGGGTGGATTGAAACTTGTGGGCGCAATTCGTGGTTGGATTGAAACTTGTGGGCGCAATTTGTGGGTGGATTGAAACTTGTGGGCGCAATTCTTGGGTGGACGCTCTCTCAGGCGGGCCCAAAGCGCGGCGGATGGAAGAAGAGGAGCGAGAGAGGTGGGATGACGCACGGCCGGCAGGCACTGGCATGTGGGTGCCTCCTACCCGCCCTGCTGACCACCCGCTTGCTGGCGGCACGCGAGGCGAAGGCGGATGGAGCAAGGATGGAGCGAGCGAAGCTCGTTGTTCCGTTCCGTTGCACCCTTGGGGTGAGGTGGAGTGCGAGGAGGAGAGGCGGATAAGCTGAAGGAGGGGGTACTTGGAGGGAGATGTTGTCGTATGTGGAAGGGAGTAAAAAGCTGGGAGAAAGGTGTGTCTGAGTGGTGATACTTTGATTGGGGGTGGGACCCTCCCTCTCATTGCTCTCCTCTCACTCTCCCTCTTGCCCAGCAGAGCCGCGGTAAGTGTGTGTTGGATGCGTTCTGAGATTGGTGGCTGCAACCCCACTCTTTGGTTCTCATCCTCCTGCTTGTCCCACCGCTTGCTCAACTCACCCTAAGCATACTTCAGCTCACACTTCCCAGTCAACTCCTCTTTTGGCCTTTGACGCACTCCTGATCAGCACTCGTTGCTGATACCCCTTTCAAAGGGAGTATCAGCAACGCCTGCCATGAGAGGGGGTATGGGTCCGAGGGAGTGCAGTGCGGTGCCATCAGCAACGCCTGCCATGAGAAGGGGGTATGGGTCCGAGGGAGTGCAGTGCGGTGCCATCAAGCAACGCCTGCCATGAGAAGGGAGTATGGGTCCGAGGGAGTGCAGTGCGGTGCCAACAGCAACGCCTGCCATGAGAAGGGAGTATGGGTCCGAGGGAGTGCAGTGCGGTGCCATCAGCAACGCCTGCCATGAGAAGGGAGTATGAGTCCGAGGGAGTGCAGTGGCGGTGCCATCAGCAACGCCTGCCTTGAGAAGGGAGTATGGGTCCGAGGGAGTGCAGTGCGGTGCCATCAGCAACGCCTGATGAGACGAGGGAGTATGGGTCCGAGGGAGTGCAGTGCGGTGCCATCAGCAGCGCCTGCCTTGAGAAGGGAGTATGGGTCCGAGGGAGTGCAGTGCGGTGCCATCAGCAACGCCTGCCATGAGAAGGGAGTATGGGTTCGAGGGAGTGCAGTGCGGTGTGGGGCCGAGGAGAACAGTTATTTGTTTCTTGTATTCTTGTTTTTTTCCTTGTCGCGTGTTTCGTTTGTGTTCTTGCATTATCTTTTCCCTTGCACCCTCACCACCAACTCGTTTCTTTCCGTGTCGCATGTTTCGATTTCTCTTATGTTTTTTGCATTTTCTTTTTGCTCGCATCTTCACCAGCAACTTATCTTCTTTCTTTAGATCCCCCCTCTTGCATTCCCGTATGGCAGGGAGCAGCATGGCGGAGTGGAGAGCTGGTGGGGGCGGCTGCAGAGCGGGAGGCGCGGCAGCAGCAGCTACACGGGAGGGAGGAGGGAGGCGGGTGGAGTGCGGAGGAGGAGGGAGCAGCAGCACCAGCAGCCTTCTTTCAGAAGGGAGTATGGGGCTCAGGGAGGGGACCATTTTACGCTTTGTTTACGCAAGCTTTTCATTTCCTTGTCGCATGTTTCAGTTTCAGTTTCGTTTGTTGCATTCTCTTCACCAGCCACTTATCTTTCTTCCCTTAGCTCCCCCTCTTGCATTCCTGTACCGCAGAGCGGGAGGCGCGGCAGCAGCAGCTACACGGGAGGGAGGAAGGAGGCGGGTTGGAGTGCGGAGGAGGGAGCAGCAGCACCAGCAGCCTTCTTTCAGAAGGGAGTACGGGGCTCAGGGAGGGGACCAATTTCTGCTCTGTTTTCGCATGCTTTTCATTTCCTTGTCGCATGTTTCAAATTCTATTTTGTGTTTTGCATTTTGTTTTTGCTCGCATCTTCACCAGCAACTTATCTTTCTTTCCCTTAGATCCCCCTTTTGCATTCCCGTATGGCAGGGCGCAGCATGGCGGAGTGGAGAGCTGGTGGGGGCGGCTGCAGAGAGGGAGGCGCGACAGCAGCAGCTACACGGGAGGGAGGAGGGAGGCGGGTTAGAGGAGCAGCAGCACCAGCATCGTCTTCTTTCAGAAGGGAGTATGGGGCTCAGGGAGGGGAACATTTCCGCTCTGTTTTCACATGCGTTTCGTTCCTTGTCACTTGTTTCAAATTCTGTTTTGTGTTTTGCGCTTTATTTTCGCTCGCATCTTCACCAGCAACTAATCTTTCTTTCCGTAAATCCCCCTCTTGCATTCCTGGTATGGCACGGCGGATGGAGGCGGGTTGGAGTGCGGAGGAGGGAGCAGCATCTGTCACCAGCAGCGCCTGCTTTCACCATTGAGTATGGGGCTGAGGGAGGGGGTGAGGGGTGAGGGGTGAGGGGTGAGGGGTGGGGGGTGGGGTGCTTGTGTGCTGTTCTTGAGGCGCCTCAAGACAGCTGTGAACTGCCGGTGGCGGTTCTGTTCTGTTCACTGCAGTGCACTGCAGCTTGTCGTTCTGTTTCTGTTCCGTCACTTCCGTTGGTCCTGAGCTTTGAGAGACGTCTCAAAACTCGTGTGCTCCTCACTGCAGAGTCGCTGCAGTGAGCAACCTCTGGGTTTTGGGCAAAGCCTCAAAACCCATTTCTCTTGTTCCTCACAGCAGCCTAGCTGCAGTGAGCAAAATTACACAGCTGGTAAGGCAGCACGACTGGGCAGCAAGGACGGGCAGCACCTGCTTTGAGAATAATTTTCATCTGCCCCCGGGCAGTATGCATTGTGTTTTTTCTCTCTTTCCCCCCATCCAACAGGGTCCCAAGCGATGGTTCCCACCTCACCGCGGTGCTTGGGTGTAACGTCAGGAGCTCTGCTCCTGGCGGCCAAGAGGAACCCCCCATGCACACCTACAGTGCATGGGTAGTACAATAGTACACTATTTAGTATAGCAGATTATCAATATCTAGTTCTCAATTAGATCAGTAAATATTTGATACTGAGATCAGTAGATGGAACTTCTAGTGAACATGGACCCTTTGGTTGGATACTTGATACTGAGATATTTCACTGGATTATAATTACCCTACGGTACTGATATCTGGAGCATCAAGACGGTATGTAATTCTGAAATTGATAGTTACTAAATTGATTACTAATATGAGCTGTCACAGAGGGTGATTGGTCAAATGAGATGCTGCAAAGGCAATCAGTCATACAGAGAGAGCCAGGCAAACAGTCACACGGAGAGAGCCAGGCAAACAGTCACACGGAGAGAGCCAGGCAAACAGTCACACGGAGAGAGCCAGGCAAACAGTCACACGGAGAGAGCCAGGCAAACAGTCACACGGAGAGAGCCAGGCAAACTGTCACACGGAGAGAGCCAGGCAAACAGTCACACGGAGAGAGCCAGGCAAACAGTCACACGGAGAGAGCCAGGCAAACTGTCACACGGAGAGAGCCAGGCAAACAGTCACACGGAGAGAGCCAGGCAAACAGTCACACGAGAGAGCCAGGCAAACTGTCACACGGAGAGAGCCAGGCAAACATGTCACACGGAGAGAGCCAGGGCAAACTGTCACACGGAGAGAGCCAGGCAAACTGTCACACAGAGAGAGCCAGGCAAACTGTCACACAGAGAGAGCCAGGCAAACTGTCACACAGAGAGCCAGCAACTGTCACACAGAGAGAGCCAGGCAAACTGTCACACAGAGAGAGCAGGCAAACTGTCACACATCAATCCTCATTGTGGGGTGCATGGGATGGACAATAGAGGTATGACTTGCAAAAGGAGCATTCAGTTGTTCCCTTTTGTTTACTTTAGTCTTCGCTCGGACAACAGGGAAAATCTGAACCTGTGATCTCAAGTGTAACATGCAACTAAGCCACTTCTCCGCATATGCAAAAACACACTGATAGCTCAGCATTCAAACAAGTTCTTGCACCGATGCATGGTACCGCATAGCACTGGAAACATCAGGGTGAAAAACTCAGCCACCGCTGAAACGTCTTCAATAGCACAGCTTGATGGGATCAAACGTTGCCTCCTCTGCACTCTTCGCCTGCTGAAACTCCCCCCTCTCTGTGTGCTCCGTGTGCATGTAATGGTGGAAGGCTGGCAGACTCTCTGCGGCCTCTCTGTTCAACCACGTACCACCCACCCACATCCCTCCACACCCCTTCAATAGCACAGCTTGATGGGATCAAACGTTGCCTCCTCTGCACTCTTCACCCGCCCAAACTCTTCCTGGTGCTGCACGTTGTATGCTCGGTGCTCCGTGTGCATGTAGTGGTGGAAGGCTGGCAGGGAGCGCACTGAAGCAATGCAGGGCAGCAGCAGGCGAATGCTGTCTGCTTCCTTGCGTTGCCGGGCCTGGGAGGGAGGGGGATTGAGCAGACAAGGGAGAATTGGGAGGGGTGCTCCGTGTGCATGTAGTGGTGGAAGGCTGGCAGGGAGCGCACCGATGCTATGTAGGGCAGCAGCAGGCGAATGCTGTCTTCTTTGCCGGGCCTGAGAGGGACGGGGGATACCAGAGGGAGGAGTGTTCGGTGGTGGGAGCAGCTGTGGGTGGTGAGGATCAAGACGAGGCGGGGAGAAGATGCAGATGTGGTATGCATGGCATCAGCAGGGCGAATGCTGTCTGCTTCGCTGCTGCAGCGCGGCTGAAAGGGAAGGGGGAGAGGAGAGCAGATCTGGATGGAACGCGCTCTGATTGTGTGCTGCGAACAGTGATGCCGTGCACATGCCATGCCAACGTGCCCCCTGACTGCAGCTCACTGACTGGAGCTCCCTGACTGGAGCTCCCTGACTGGAGCTCACTGACATGCTCCGTTACCATGACCACACTGGCACCGTTATACACCACTCCGTACCACCACTGCACCGTTACCATTACCACCACTGCACCGTTACCATTACCACCACTGCACCGTTACCATTACCACCACTGCACCGTTACCATTACCACCACTGCACCGTTACCATTACCACCACTGCACCGTTACCATTACCACCACTGCACGATTACCATTACCACCACTGCACCGTTACCATTACCACCACTGCACCGTTACCATTACCACCAGCACATCCGCCTCGGGCGTGGGTTCCTCCTTGGCTTGGCTGCCTCCTCCGCCACCCTCTTGAGCTTCTCTGCCTCGTCTGATAGGTTCACTGCCGTGGGGCGACTGGATGGTGTGGGGGATAGAGGAAGATGGAGAGTGAGCGGAGTGCGTGAGAGCAGCCCAGGCGGTGGTTGGCTGGTGTGACTGTGGTGGGTGAGAGCAGGTGCGCAAGTGCTCGAAATTTTGTGTGATCCATGATGGAGAGTAGAAGCACCCACCTGGACTGGACGCGAGGTGGTCGAGGCGTTCAGTGATGTGCTTCACAGCGGCACCCGCGGAATCGAACACGCTGTGCTGCTGCGATCGCGATCGCCGGCACCCCCCGCACCACCACGTGGCGTGCCTGAGGGTTGTGATGGGGGCCGCGCGGTGGAGTGCGGTGCACGGGTGTTCAGGAGATTAGGAAGATGGAGTGAGATGGGGTGGGGTGGAATGGGGTGAAAGCGGTGTGATTCACAGGAGGGGGCATAGACGATACCACGGCCTTGGTCGCATTTCCGGCATGTCGTGATGAGTGGGGTTTTATACACAGTGTAGGATGGCATGATGGCATGATACCCACCAGGCAGCTTCGATGGTTGGGATGCTGAGGTAGATAGACTCGTGAGGAAGCTTCCGCTGGAATGGAGGCAACACGCGGGGCGGGGCGTGGAATGGGAAGGGATAAAAAGAAGCAGCGCCTTAGTCTGGTTACCCGACGGTGTGACGATGCTGTATACGAACGCGCGCCTTCATTACATCAAAGCCGTAGTGATTCTTAACCTTTACGTAAGACGCACCCTTTACAAGAAGGGTGCGACAGTTTCGTGCGCATAATGTTTTTACCGAGAATCAACTGAAAGCTGACAACACGAGTCGCCAGCACGACTCGCCTGATCCAGCAGCTCGAGCTTCCCTCGGGAATACCGAATGGCCTGAAGCACCTTCGACTCGCCCGACGCACCCACATTCTCCGCCGTCACCGTCAGATCTGCAACCGCTGCCGCCATTGCTGGCGAATGCTATCGATTCCAACGACGGAACGTAAGACACGAATTTGCGAAACTACGCGAACACAGGAGGTGTGGTGGGCGACACGGCAAGGCGGAAGGGATGTCTTGCTTGCGTAGTGCGGCGAGCGGCGCTAGATGCGGAGAAAGGAGAAGGCGGGTTGGAGAAAAGGAACGAAATGATTGAGAAATCTGTGGCAGTGGGCTGGGGTGTGGTCCCTCCGAGGTGGTAACACTTGTGATGCGATGTGCAAATATTCGTAACACCCAGCAATTTTCCCTTGCGACGAATTCTGGCGAAGGCGACTATTTTCGCTGAATGCTTTGCCAAACAGACAGAGAATCAAGACAGCACACAGCACAGCATACAGTACAGCACACTACCACATTGCGTTACCTTATTGCCCCCGCTCACGATGCTCCCACTCACGATGCTTTCACTCACGATGCTCCTACTCACGATTCTTGCTCACGATGCTTCCACTCACGATGCTCGCTCACAATGCTCCCACTCACGATGCTCGCTCACGATGCTCCCACTCACGATGCTCGCTCACGATGCTTCCACTCACGATGCTCGCTCACGATGCTCCCACTCACGATGCTCGCTCACGATGCTCCCACTCACGATGCTCGCTCACGATGCTCCCACTCACGATGCTCGCTCACGATGCTCCCGCTCACATTGCGTTACCTCATTGCTGATCGTCAACTCATCACATGAACCCGCCGTCATCTCGTTTCTCCTTGCTTTTGGGATAGTTTCTGGCCGTGATCACAGGCATCAGATCAAAAGCTTCACCGCATAATGGTCGCTCTCCTTCGAATCGTGGCGGTTAAATTTCGCCACCGCTGGTTACCTCTTCGCGTCGTCACCGCAATAGCGTTGGGTCGGCTGTCGATAGAAGAACAGTTCAAGGCGCAGTACGACGCGCATGAGCGCAGTGCGGCGCGCATGGGCGCAGTGCGACGGGCTCGGATTATTCTCACCCCCCCACTCCCTTGCTCACGTTCAGACAGTTGACGCCCATGCGGCGCGCTCCCCACCACGTCACCTCCCCTCTGGGCCGTCCTCCGGGCCGTGCACGCCGTCGCTCAGCCACGTCACCTCCCCTCTGACGCCCTGCCACGTCACCTCCCCTCTGATGCAGCCCAACGCATGTGTAACCGCATGTAACCGCATTCGCTCCTGTCGCTTGCACCTTGCAACGCACATGGCCACCTCACGCTTCACCGCACTACACCGCGCTGCACCCAATACATGTGCTTCACCGCGCTGCACCGCGCTGCATATTCATTTACATTGGAATCCGTCTTTTCTCCTTGGGTCGTTGGCAGGTCGGAGCATGCAGCTAGAGCAGAGGGGCAATTGAAGCAGAGGGGACTTGCTTTTGACTCTGCAGGGGGGATGGGTGGGTGGTGGGGAGGGGGGATGGGGGAGGAGGAACGGCTGGTGGGGAGAGGCGCGAGGGGGAGAAGCGAGAGGGGGAGAGGCGGGAGGTCTGTGTGATGAGGGAAATCCTTGCACGCCTGAGAAAGGTCGACCTGCTGATGCTGCTGCACGCACTGATGGCAGTCCGGCTAGTGGTGGTACTCCCGGCAGCACTGGCGCGGGCAGCACACGCGCTCACAGCACTCCCTCCTCCTCCCCTCTCATTCCCTCCTCTCTCTCCTCCTCCTCCCCTCTCCCTCCTCTCCTCCTCCTCATTCTCCCCTCTCCTCTCCTCCTCGCCGTCTCCCTCCCTGCCCCTGCTCGCATCCTCCCCTTCTCTGCTCTCCACCCTCCCTCCTGCCGCGCTGGCACCGCTCTGCACCGCTCTGTGCGGCCCGCTCTGTCCCCAGGGGCGCCTCACCCGCTTCTACGACACTCAGATGGACCGATTCGTGCTGCCGCCCACCAGGTAGAATGAGACAAACAATGCCGATCCCCACTCACCAAGTAGGAACATGGTGACCTTTCCTCTCCGCGTGCTCCTCCATGCCTTACTGCTTGGTTTGTTCCCTGGAGTGCCTTGTCTGCCTTCCTCTCTCTGCCTTCTGTTCATGCCTCCCTGGAGTGCCTTGTCTGCCGCATGAAGCATCTCTCTGCCCTTCAGTCTTCACACATCAACTCCGTGTCTCGTGTCACTCCCCCGCACCTTTCCCCCCTCCCTTTCCCCATCAGGCTGATGGACGCAGCAGCATTAGCGCGGCAGCGCCTGAGCATGACAGATCACGAGCTGCTGCATGCCACTCCACATCGCCACTGGCCGAGGGCCCCGACTTCCTGCCCTTCATCCGCAGGTGAGGGCTCGTGGCTGCTTTTCCTCCACGTGAGGGCTTGTTGCTGCACACACGTGCCTTGCATGCTGTCACACATGGCCTGGCTCGCTTTCGGGCATGCTACGCACACGTGGCCTGACGCGCACTAGAGTTCACGCACACATGGCATGGCGCGCACTAGGGCATGTCACTGCAGCGAGCTGCTGCACGCCAACTCCACATCGCCCCTGGCTGAGGGACCCGACTTCCTGCCCTTCATCTTTTGGTGATCCCTCCCTCTCTCCCCACCTGAAGGCTCGCTGTTGCACACGTGCTATGGCATGGCGATGCGCATGCCATGCACACACTAGCGCATGTCATTGCAGCGAGTAAACATATCTGCCATGCCATTTTTTTCACCTCCTTCGCATCACCCATTCCCATCCCCACATTTGGCCATGTCACACACATTTGGCCTTGCTCTCTAGGGCATGTCACTGCATGCTGACTCCACGTCGCCACTGACTCCCTTCATCCTGCACTTCCACGTCGCTCACATGGCATGATGCCATGGCATATTGATGCGCATGCCGCGCACACACTAGGGCATGTCATTGCAGCGAGTAATCATCTCTGCTCTGTGCCTTTCCTTCACCCACTCCCACCCCCCTCCCGCTGCTTCTCACCCTCCCCACGCCCCTCCTGCTACCCCTTTTCTTCCCCCCCTCCCCTTCTGCCTCTTCCCCCTCCCCTCCCCTGCAGCTGCTACCGGCTGCTAGCCCAGTCGCCAGACAGCGACACGCTCTTCCCCAGCGGCGCCCCCCGCGTCTTCAGCGCTGGCAGCGCGCACCGCCCCCCCTGCCCCTTTACTTCTTCTCAACCTCCCCTTCTGCTCCTCTCCCCCTCCCCCCTCCCCCCCGCCTCCCATTCAGCTGCTACCGTCTGCTAGCCCAGTCACCGGAAACAGACACGCTCTTCCCCAGCGGCGCCCCCCGGGTCTTCACACGCGATCCCACCTCGCAGCGCTGGCAGCGCGCGCCACCCCCGCTGCCCCCGCGCACGCCGCTCATGCTGTACCGCGCATACCGCTCGCGCCACCTGCACTCGCTCTCCTCGCTGCTCTGCTCCCTGCCCTGCTGGCCCTGGCTGTGACCGCGGATACGAGTTCCCATCTGCCGGATGTGAGGGGTGCGTTGAGGTGGAGATTGTGCACGCTCCTCATGTGCTGCCAGGGCACTCAAGAAAGCAGTTCCTGCGTTGGTGGTGATTGTGGTGCAGGGGACAGGGTGCAGGGTGCAGGGTGCAGGGACAGGGTGCAGGGTGCACGGTGGAGGGTGCAGGGTGATACAGCGGTTGACAAATATGTCAACTGCTACACGAATGTTTGGCCTGGTTGTGCCTGGCCGGATAGGTGGCTGTGAAATGTGGTGCTCATGAATATTCAATCCAACAAATGATGAGAGTGGTCATCAAGGTAGGGCGCATCTTGCGCCCTTGAGATGCTACTCTTTTGCTGCAATCGCAGATAAGATGGAACACTCTTGCTGCAAACGCAGATATGATGTTACAATCTTGTTACAGTCCCACTTGAAAAAGGATTCATTTATTTTGCTGAAAGGAGTCTACACTGTAGATGGCTGTGCGTGATGATACAGTTTCTGTAGATGGATAACTTGCGGAGATGATCCCTTGCGGAGATGATCCAACATTCCGCATTGCGGCGGAACCTTTTCTGGCACACCTGCTGCAGAAGTCTCCCGCCTGGAATTTCAAAAAGCCGCGCTTCGTCGGGCCAGCGCAGTTTAGCGGCAACTTTGGACTCCCATCCCGGTGGCGAAAGTCGTCTGACCCAGATAACCTCAGTTACGCTTTTGTCATTCGTTCGCGAAAGCTTTGCGACGACCTGTGCGGGGCGGCGGAGACCAGCGGAAGCCTCTGTTTTGGCGACTCCCTCTCGCCTGTCGTCGCCTCCCTCCAGCAAGTGCATGCAGCCTCCCAGAGACCGAGTCAACCGGCGATATCCCCAAGGCCATTCCACCTCTGCCGGATTCTCCAGTTCCTTCATTCATGTCACTGATTCTCTCCAGTCAGCGTTAGCTCGTGCTTGTTTCCATGGCTTCCTCATCTCGCCATGGCTGCTGT